AAGGGACGTCGTTGGGCGAGCGAGGCAGTGATGGTCCCCATCGCTGGGCGATGAGAAGGCAAGCAGAGTGCGACCCGTGGCGTCGGGCAATGAAGTAGGGAGCAGACCTCAAAGTAATTTCAAAGTGTCGTAACTTGAATTTGTGGATTTCTATTTGATGCACCGCTCAAAGCGTTAGGAAGCTAACAGGTAAAACTATATTATGACATAATTCTATCAGTTGTTTGATGTATGATTCCAGTACCTATGTGTTGATAAGATAGATTTATTACATGTTTGATATGATATGATGTTCTATTTGTTTTAATGATGAATATGATGTTGCTGTGAAGTTGTTATGAAGTTTCTACAATGTTGTTATTGTGATGTAATTGATGTTATCCTTAATGAGGTTTTAATGATGTGCATGTTTAATGTTTATACATGTTATGTGATGATGACTATATGAATGATGATGCAATTGACTAGCTGTGGTCGAACTTTATGTGACGTTTTGTGCATCATGCATTCATAGTATTTTTGAACGGTGGTCTGCTATTTTTGGATGATGATCCACTTGTGATGAGTCTCAATCCTATTGTATGGATTGAGTGCGTTAATGACGTGCTCCAGTTTCAAGAGGGAATCGATTCTATGGTGGAGATATTTGGAGGGTGATGAACCAGATGTTCATAAAATATTGGTACCACATGCTTTAAGTCAGTATTATGCATTAACATCCTATGTGACATTGCATGATTTTATTGATGAGTTTTGATGTGATGATAATGGTGAACTATGTGAGTATATGATGATTTGATGATGAAAGATGTCTAAGTGCTATTATGATGTATCTGTGAGTATGGTGTGTTGATGAATAAAATGTGTTATTATATGATGAATAAAATGCGTTGTTATATGACGCGCATGTGACTAGGAGTAGTTCGTAGAAGTCTCGATGATAGCTTCAGAGTGGTTTATTTTAGTTTGTTACATTAGTGGGTTCTTGCTCTGATATGTAACATCAGATTTGGAACGCTATATTTTATAAATGTTATGTTCTTTTGATGTTGACATATATTTATGACGGTTTTGATTGCTAAACCGATTTGAATTCCAACTTTTGATTGAGACTATGATGCTATGAGTTTTATTTTATGAAGGAGTTTATTTATGACGATGAATCCGCTGCGATGACTTAAATGTTTTGTTGAGCTATGATAAGATGATATTATTAGTGATGTAACCCGTGTTACAGAGCATGATTGTTATTATGATGTTTCCTATGAAGTGTGACACTCTTGAGTGATGATTTTATTTGATTTAAGTCGTAAATTATATGAATACTACATGTGGGGTTAGAAGGGTGTTACAACCGACTCAGAGATAATGGTATAACTCCTTTGGGACGCAACTTCCTACATTGTATTTCGTTATAGATTTGTATTATACAAGATTTATTTGAGACGAAGTAACCTTTCTTCTACCGCTTACGAGTTTTTGTTGTCGAACTATTTATACACGCTATTTAACAATTTGTTCGTACTTTTCACGCAGAGGTTGGCTTGCAGCAACTCGAATACATGCAATGTCTCTGGTCTTGGTACGACTGGCAATGCTAGAGACCTGAACAACAATTTGCATTGCTGAAATTGTGTACCAAAGCCTATGAACCAGGAAGGATGAACGAGATCTTGATGTGACAGAGTGTTTGCGATGACTTGATCACCCCTATTTCGAGGAGGAGCCGATGGATCTCTTGCGACTTGAGCAACTGCAACTGCCTCATGCAGCGTAGCGGAGCAAGTGGCTCTAGAACCTGCCATTGATGAAAGATCTCGAAGTTAGAGTTTGAGAAGCTGAAAATTGGAGTTGATCTATGATGAGAGTAGATCAAGATGAAAACATGTAGTTCGATTTCTGGAAATTTGAATTGCTAGGTTGAGGAATCTTCAATTTATTGAATTGGGAGATGATTGTTCAAACCTGGAAATTGCAAGAATCAAACGTCGATTCCCACAAATGACGTCATTATTCCGCGAGAGAACTAAAATTGATCAGAGATCGAAGGTTGCAAATTATAACAGTGGACTTGAGCTTTCGCTATAGTGGAGAGGGGCTTACCTGCAAGGATAACACCCAAACACTCAAGTCGGTATGAGAGTAAGTTGAGTGAATGAAGTTTGAATTTGAATTATACTTGGAAAATGACGCGCTTCCTCATTATATAGTAGATTGGTAATAACAGTTTACTGATCTTAATGTGAAATATGCGGGGAGCCGTTGGATGGATCCTAAATTCGAATCACTTGCACTCTAATATAGGATAACACTTATGTCTTACGAGTGACTTGGTGGATCATTGTATTCTCTAGGTCATGACTATTGGGCCTGGTGACAGGCCCATAACATACGTTATAATGATGAAGAAGGAGAAGACTTTCATACAAGAAAAGGAATAAAAGAAGGGAAACTGCAAGTGTGAGCAAAATTGTGTTGCGTAATACAGGAAATATCGTGGTGCTTAAGCCAGGAAGTGTAACATAATTTTTACGATCACGCAGCGACTATGTGACCAACATTACAAAATCATGGTGCACCACTAGGTCAGTGCGATGCGATTTGCGATAATAATTTTTTCTAATATTGCCAAACACCTTAAGTTGACAATGTTTCAAATTCTATGAAAAGCGAGGCACATTAAGAGACATTAGAGCATAGAAAAAACAAAAAGTTCAATTAGAGATTCATTCTTAATTATTTGTAAGGTTTAATTGCTTTATTGTATCAACACATTTTTATTCAATAATAAAATTCACTTTAAGTATAAAAATATTAGAGTTAAACTATTTTTAATTTATTTTCAGTCTCATAGAAAAACAGCACAATTACAAAATTATCTTACAATAATTTTAATCTCATTTATTAAGTCAATAACTATTTTTGATAAATTTAATAAACTTGTTTAAAATATTGTAAAAAATTCATTCTTCCACAATTTTTAAATTAAAAAAAAAAATTTAAACCGAAATTTATCATTACTTTTATTTTGAATTTGACATTTTAAAAATAAATACTTAATTTTTTCGGTATGAAATAATCTAATTTTGTGAATGAAATTCTAATAATATTCAAATAAATATCAAATATCATTCAAAAATATAAATTCATTTAACAACTTGAACTAAATTTGCTAGCATGATAATTTTGGAAAAGCTAAAAATTGTAAATTTTATAGAAACGAAAAATAAGATCAAGTTCTCATCATCTACCCCAAAAACTAAGGTCATGTATGTACTACCTCTATTATTTTCAAATGAAATGTGAAGCTTCCTCGAATGTGGCTGTTAGACAACTATTATTAAGTTGACTTCAGAAGACTTCATAAAAGATAAAACAAAACAATCTACAACTTGGGCAACAAGACATTCAGCTTTTTCAAAAGCAAAAGAATTGAAAAATGAACAAGGCACAAGAAAAGCCTTGGAAATTTCAACAGAGTAGACAGGAAATTTATAATAAAAAACACAACTTAGCCTTTAAGGAGTTATGTTAAGAAATTTAAAATTTAAAATAAAAGTATTCTTTTAAAAGATCAAATATTGAAATTTTTTTAAATAATTCTTTTTTTCAATTTTTTTTCCTTCTAAATAATCATTTTTTTCAATTTTTTTATCAAAATGACAATTTTTTTAACAAAAAAATTTTGACACACAGAGGAGTAGCCACTTTGTGTGACGCGTGCATTCATTTTTAAGAGGAGGCGTCACACTGTATAGTTTGTCCTCCTCTGTAAAGCCATGCAGTATGGCGCATGTATGTATTTCAGAGTTTGAAAATATTCGAACGTCCGCGTGTTCTAGAATTTGATCTTCACCAGAGGCTTTGTCGCCGAAAAAATAACATGCGCATCTCTTTTGATCAGTGAAAACTTTGTCAAGACAGTTGAAGACATTTTCTAAGATTTATGTAACAAATGGTGTGAAAAAATGAAGAGGATGAGTGGTTGCATTTATAGAAAATACAATAATACTATCAAACTAAGGAGGGTGACGCCTCCTCTCTGGAATACATGCATGTGCCACACTGCATGACTTTATAGAGGAGGACAAATCATGCACTGTAGTGTCTTCTCTTAAAAATGAATGCATGCCACTCTGTGGCGAAATTTTTTTATTTGAAAAGTGGTTATTTTAGTAAATTTTTTGAAAAAGTGATTATTTGAGAAATGTTTTTATCAAAAAAAAAATCTCAAATATTCAATCAATATTTTTTTTCAAATATTATTATGTTTAATATATTTTTATATTTTTATATTTTTATATTTTTTATTATGTATCCTTAGGCATAATTAGCTCTTTTTACCATCCTCATGATTCCTTCAAGGTAAATTTGGAAAGCCACTAATTTAAGTTTCATACTATAAGCCTTCTCAAATTTGTGGAGGATAGATTAATCTGTTTAACCATCATAAAATAAATAGAGTTTTAATTTAAGAGAAAAATATATATGAAATGTCATACCGACAATTAACCAACAACATATATTGTACCATATCATATTTAAAATCTTTAATAACAGTATAAAATTAATTATTTAATTTATACAATCTGTGCATATTCATTACACTATTTATTTAATTATATTTTAGTCACAACAAACATTTTACAAAATTCATTTTAATTACAATTTAAATATAATAAAAATTTAATCTTAGAATGTAGTCTATCTGAGTCTTAAAATTCAGTCTTTGGGCTAAAGGTTATATATAAAGAACAAATGACTAAATTGATAAGAAATTAATTTATAAAAATCACATGTTTATAAACGCTCTTGAAATTGTCCAAACTTTAAAAAGTGTATAAAGTTCGAGTAATCTAAATATTTTGATTGAAAGATATACATAAAAAGAAAAAATGAAAAAAAATAGAAACCACTACAAATAGAAGCATCAAGTTACAAGAAAAAAACATTCTCACTCTGTTAACTTCCCATTTCACAAACAGAAACAGAAACACACCATGAGATCCCCTATGTTTGGTGGTTTCTCTTCCTCATTCACAAACATTGGTTCAACATCTTCATGGTTCGAGATATATGCTGCCTTTTCAACATTCATGATGCTCTTAAGAACCGCAATCAACGATCTGATACCCTTCAAACTTCGAAACTACATTATCTCAAAAGTCTCATCGTTCTTCACAAATTACCAACCCAACAACCAAGTCTCACTTCAAATCGACCAGTTTTGGGATGGACTCACCAACCACCTATACTACGCAGCCAAAGAGTATCTCCCAACTAAAATCTCCAACACTTACAAGTCCCTGAAAGTTGGCAAAATATCGAAACACAACAACGTTCTCTTAGCTTTCGATGGAAAACAAGTAGTCACGGACGAGTTTGAAGATATCAAAGTCAAATGGAAGCTCATTGAAAATTCTAAAGATGATGAATTTTTCGAAAATCCTAGGAAGGAATTTAAGCATCATAATAAGTCAAAAGACTACGATGAAAACGGATTTGTGTTAAGTTTTGATGAGAAATATAGAGAAAAAGTAATGAAGAAGTATATTCCTCATATTTTAAGCACTTATGAAACTATAAAAGCAGGAAATAGAACTCTCAAGATTCATTCTATGCAATCTGGGCCTTGGAAACAAAGTGATTTAACACATCCTGCTTCATTTGATTCAATCGCTTTGGATCCTGATCTGAAGAAATCTATAATTGATGATTTAGATAGGTTCTTGAGGAGGAAGAAGCTTTATCAAAAAGTGGGTAAGCCTTGGAAACGTGGCTATCTTTTGTATGGTCCACCAGGGACAGGAAAATCTAGTCTTATTGCTGCTATAGCTAAGCACTTGAAATTTGATGTGTACGATTTGGATCTGAGTTCAGTGTTTTCTAACTCGGAACTCATGAGAGCCATGAGAGAAACATCTAACAGATCTATCGTCGTCTTTGAAGATATTGACTGCAACACTGAAGTGCTTGATCGATCAAAATCAGACAAGTTTTCAGATAATGATTTTGTAGACACTCCTGGTGGTGGTAAGGTTTGTCTCTTACTCTCTTTATCTTTTTTTTTTATTTATCTAGTGTAGTATCTGAAATTTCATATATTCGAACTCGCGTCTCTGTAATTGAATGTCTCGTCTCTACATAACTATCAAATGTGTTGTCTTATCTGAGACTAATTTTTGTTTTGTTGAAATTTTGGATCAGATGGTTAGGAACATGCCTATGCCTATGCCGAGAAAGTTTACACTTTCGGGTCTTCTTAATTATATGGATGGATTGTGGTCAAGCTGTGGAGAGGAAAGGATTTTGATATTTACTACAAATCATAAGGACAAAGTTGATTCTGCGTTGTTGCGTCCCGGTCGAATGGATATGCATATTCACTTGTCATTTCTTAAAGGCAAGGCGTTTAGAATCTTAGCTTCTAATTATTTGGACATTGAAGAACAACATGGTCCACTCATTGAACAAATTGAGGAGCTATTGGGAAAAGTTGATGTCACCCCTGCAGTAGCAGCAGAGTATTTGTTGAGAAGTGAGGATCCTAGTGTTGCTCTTGAAGCACTTGTTCAATTTCTTCAAGAAATTGATGTTTCAAAAGTTGTTGTAAATGAAGAGAATAATCAGAAAGTTTAGAGGCTCCTAGTTGGTGAAAAATTGACATTGAGAATCCCTATTGTAATAGTTATTTTTATCTGAGGTAGTGTCCTCTGGTGTTGTAGTATTTATTTAAGATATGCACTTGTATTTGTAAAACTTCAATGGTAAATGCTCGGTAGATTCTAATATTTAAAACTTTAGTTTCAACTCATTTTTAATTAAAATAAGTTTTTACCTCCAATGAAGAAATGGTGAAATTGTTGAAAGATTTCCCAACTCAAGATCCTTGATTTGTTTGTGTCAAATAGAAAAATGCAAAGTTTGTGCCTTGTACTAATTGCAAGTTGCAACGGTAGCAAGAAACTGTTTGAGGAGGAACTAGGAAGAGTGAAAAGTGTGTTCATTGTAATGGAAGTGAATTGATAGTATGCACAAATTCTTGTTCACAACTCAGTGATCAAAATTACTGATTATTATTTTTCTTAGCTTGAATTCTTCGAGATAAATTTGTTTATATATGTGTGTTTTACGTATGTAAACACAAGATAGTTCCTATAAATGAAATACTAAAGAAAATCTTAGATGAATTACCAAAAGTCCTCTTAAAAATTATTAATGATAAAATATATTTTTCCTCTCAATCCTCCATTTTTTTTCTCCCAAATCTTGTCTTTTATAGTCGACATTGTCTTGATCTAATGGGTTTCTCTATGTAATGTCCAGATCCATTAGATTTCATCTCTAAGGTTCATACAACTCATTTGTATAGGAGTATGGAATTGAACATGCACAGCTAACGTAACTCTTCCGTATAGAAGTATGGAGTTGAGCACATGCATCTTACGTCACTCGTCCGTGTCGGGAACATGACATGCCACAGAGGAACCCTAAGAGGAGCTTTATTTTAAAAAGGATTTTGATGTATCTCATTAAAGTGAAAGCTCAAAATAGAATGAATGTCTAAGTTGAGCTAAACACATCAAAGCGCTTAGCTGAGATAAACTTGTTCTATGTGGCTGTTACCTCAGATTTTTGGCACAAACATTAGATTTGAAGATTAGAAACAATCTTGAAAATAGTTGTTGTCCTCGGTCGAAATGGTCAGTCTCGACCATTAGATCTAACGAATTTGGTGATTCGTCTTGTCGAGGGATGATGTTAACCCTGGTCGAACATTCATTAGTCTAAAGACCAAGGATACGTAAGTTTTGGACTTGGTGAAATTTGGAGTTTCCAGCGTAACATTACTAACTGCACGCAGTCGGACAAGGTAGAAACATATAAGATCAGACGGTTATCCGAGAATACGTGTAAAGCTTGCAGAGGCGAATGTTGCATGGTGTTGGGAACATGGCGAAGTTTGCTAAGTCAACCGTTGTAAACGGTTACGTTAGGACTAGTATATAAGCAATGTTTGTTTGTAGTTTTAGGAGTCTGCAACTAAAGGTCACCACAATCAAGGAAGCCAACAATCTTGCAACACTTGATCTCACCTTGTTCGGAAAGTTGGAATAACACGAGCAAGAACTCAATTGCTCGGATAAATATGAAAAGAAGCTTGAGAAAAATAAGAAAAAGGAGAAAGACACCAATAAGGAGGAAGAATTTGTTAGAATAAGATTTGATTATGCAATACTATCTCTAAGTTTTGATGGTAACAAATGAGTATGTTTGTATGAACAATTTTGATACTCTAATGTTTGTTATTATTGAGTATTTAACAAACTGGTTCTGCTCTGATGGATGGCCTGACCAAGACATTAGGAGAGAATTAATTATGCTTATGTGTTACACAAGTTCTTATGAACAATAACATGACACTCCAGAAGACTCTAAAGTGTAGGCTCTGATATAAAATCTAAAGAAACCAGTCAGAAGATCTGAAGACATAAGTTTCTACTTAAGTCCAAATGCTAAAGACTCATGTTTCTGAAGACAACGTGTTATAAAGAAACCAGAAAAAAGATCTGAAGACAGAAGTTTCTACTTAAGTCCAGATGTTGAAGACAGTGTTTCTAAAGACGGGTTCTCAAGACCAAGTGTTGAAGATTCTGATAGACAAAGTTCTAAAGACTTTGAAGACTTGAAGTTCTAAAGATCCATGGTTCTAAGAAAAGGGTTCTAAAGACCAAGTACTAAAGACTCTGAAGACAGAAGTTCTAAAGACTCTAAAGACTTGAAGTTCTAAAGATTCAAGGTTCTAAGAAAAGGTTCTCACGACCAAGTGCTGAAGACTCTGAAGAAGCAGTTCTGAAGACTCTGAAGACTTGAAGTTCTGATGACCTTGTGTTATGTTCTCGCTTCTAAACTCATGCTCGCAGAAGCCTATGAAGTGTAAGAAAGAAAGAAGATAATGTTAACATGGTACACATATTACATGGTACAATCAATGTTTCATTCCACTACCATGAAAGGGCGGACACGTTGCACGATCTTGTCCCTCACGCGATTGCTCAAGCTTCCAATGTTTCTGGAAATCTCTAGAGTACCCCTCAATGGATATGTTATTTTATTGGCTATATAAAGGCTTGAAGACTAAGAGAGAAAGTGGTGAATTTTTACTAAATATCCACGCACAAGTGTTGTTCATAGCTTTCACATTTTTAGTCTATTGTTCTTAAAATAGTTTACATATTCAACTTGTATAGAAGCAATATTATTATAAACAAAACTTGTATTCAAACAGTTGTTTGATTTCCTTAAGGGACCGGTTAGGTCCGTATCCTTAAGAAGTCTAGGACTAGTGTGTCTTAGAGGTTTAATTTTCCTTAAGGAACCAGTTAGGTCTGTATCTTTAAGAAGTCTAGGACTTGTGTGTCTTAGAGTTTTTTAGTCACTTGTGGATAGCTTGTGCATTATATCAATTGGATTATTAGATTATGTCCTCGATTTAGAGAGGCGAAATCACCTTGGCGGGTGGACTAGACTAGCTTGATAGTTTTCAAGTGAACTAGTATAAACATTTTGTGTTCTTTACTTCCTGTTCGTAATTATTGTTATTATCAAGAGTGAAGGAAAAATTATTTTAAATAAAGGGGAATATTTGCAAAAGAAATTTTTTGATTTAAAATCCAATTCAAACCCTCTCTTTCTTATGTTTTTCACACCTTCAATTGGCATCAGAGCTCCAGTTCTGAGGAGATAAAAAGTTTGCATTTTTATCAACATTTAACAGTATTCAGAACTGATCCAATGTGTGTGAAAAACCAATGGCTACACCTACTTCCACTGTTGATAATAAGGATAATGATAGAGATCATTATATTTCAAAACCTCCTATGTTTGATGAGGAGAAATTTGACTATTAGAAGGATATAATCGAAAGTTACTTTCTGGAATATGACTTGGATCTATGGGATTTGGTAGTTGATGGCTACACTCACTCAGTAGACGATAAAAGTCAGAAGATTGCAAGAAGTGCAATGACAGAAGCACAAAAGAAAGTTTACAAGAATCATTACAAAGCAAGAACTATTATTCTTAATGCTATTTCATACAATGAATATGAGAAGATCACAGATAGAGAGACTACAAAGTCTATCTTTGATTCTCTTCAGATGAAACATGAAGGCAATGCACAAGTAAAGGAAACAAAGGCTTTGGCCTTAATTCAAAAATACGAAGCCTTCAAGATGGAAGATGACGAATCTGGGAAAATGATGTTTTCAAGATTTCAGACTCTTGTGGCAGGACTTAAGGTTCTGAATAAAGGTTACTCTACAGTATATCATGTTAAGAATATTATCAAAAGTCTGCCTAAAAATGGAGATCAATGGTAACTGCTTTAAAACTTTCAAAGGATCTGAACAACACCTCTCTTGAGGAACTGATTAGCTCTTTAAGAAGTCCTGAGATTGCGCTTGATCAAGAATAACCCTAGGAAATAGTTAAGTTTGTGGCTCTAAGGTATAAGTCTGGAAAGACAAATACTTATCAAGCTAAGGAAGATTCAGAAGAATCTGAAGAAGATTTAGATGATGAAGAACTTTTGTTGATATCCAAAAGAATCAGTCAAATCTGGAAGCATAGACAAAGCAAATTCAGAATTCGAAAAAGGACTTTTAGAAGAGGCGAATCTACTTCTGGGAAGAAGAATGCTTCTGGAAAAGAAGTGACTTTCTATGAGTGCAATGAGCCTGGACATTACAAAAATGACTGCCTAAAGCTTAAGAAAGGCAAGAAGCCCAAGAAGGCTTACAAAGCCAAGAAGGGGCTCGTGGCAACATGGGATTATTCAAAATTAAAATATGAATATTCAGATGAAGAGCATGCAAACTTGACACTCATGGCCAGAAACAACACAGATGAAGAAACATCAGAATGTGAGGTGACAAAAAATGATGAGTCAAACTCCGAAGATGAAGCCGAGGTAATTGCTCTTCTTTCTCTTTTTCAACTTGAATATTATTTTTCTAAAATGATGAGAAAGTATCAAACTCTTCTCAGTAAATACAAAAATCTGAAAAAGAAGTTTGTAGTTTCTTCTGAAAATTCTACTAATGATGAGTAAAACATTTCTAATTCAAATGAAAAATTATTTGTTTTAGAAAAATCAAATATAGCTATCAAAAGTAAAATTTCTAGTTTGGAAGAAGGGATAATCTCTACCACATCTATTACTGATGAAGTAATCAAATATGATAGAGTTTTTCAGCATTTCCTAGCTAAGAGCATAGATAGAAGAAAAATGGCTTCAATGATCTATGTTGTTAGTAGAAATGGAAGCAGAGGCTTGGGATATTCAGGACCATTCAAGAAAATTGATGAGACTCTGAATGTGAAACCAAAAACTCTTTTTGAGCATTTCGTGCTTGTTGGCACAAAATTTAAATGTCTAGAACAAGTAGGTTCTGATACTACTGTAGCACAAACATAGACACAGAAGGAAATTTCTAAACCAAAGTATCATGCATAAATTTCACATGATTATTCTGTTGCACAAAAGTCCAAAGGTGTCAGAATCTCTGGAACTGCTAACAAGAAAGGACAAAAAAATGGGTACCTAAGGATCAGATAATCTATGTTAGAGATGTCCT